TTTTATACATCCATTAAGTTTTCGTCTGAACCTCTGTTAACTGATGACGTGGCATCCACGTGGTCAATGACTTGGCGCCATGTGTCAATATAGGTCCACGTGAAAATTTAAAAAAATAAAAATTAAGAAATTAAAATTAAAAATCAAAGAATAATAAAAATTTTAAAAAAAAAATCCTAAGCCCTATTGCCTTCCTCACAATCGCATTCCTCACCACCACCGCCCAAATCCGAGCCCCTCATCCTCCTCACCTGGCCTGGGTCTCACCCCTCCCTCCCCAATGTTCCCTCCTCCTCAACTCCTACTCCGCCGAACCCGACAAGTGGACTTATTCCTCGACCTCTTCATCTTCTTCGTTGATCAACGGTCAAATGATTTTGCGCTCGTACCCTCAGCCCCCTCGTTCTACAACTCGGGAGGTGGACTTCGGTCCCGGTCCATGACGCCAAGTCATGACGGCTTCGATTCAATGCAGTACTGTTCGATGGTTACAATGCTCACTCGCTGGTCAGGTTCAAATTCTTGGCACTAAGGAAAAAAAATTAGAAAAAACCTTTTTTCTCCATCTGAGGATTGAGAAAAACCCTCATTTTTTTTTTCTCCCTTATGTGATTCCCTCTTTTGGTATAGAAAATCGTTGAATTTTCCTCTGGGTTTTGGAGAAAAACCATTTTTTTTTCTCCATCTGTGCTTCATTAATGCTTCCTCCTTTGAGGTTCTTTTTCCTTTCATTCCTTTTACTCTTTGTTTTCCTAAAAAATAAAAATTACAAAATTTGCCCTGAAGAAGTTCCACTGAATGATTGATTGATTCCACTCATTTCTCTCACAATAATGTTAGTGGCAGTTCTTTGTCTCTGATAATTGGAAGGTAAGAGTTGAAGAAAGTTTGGGGTTACACCATATAACCAATTGGTAATATGGGAAGTGACTTAACCTCTTAGACCATCTTCAACTCTTAGAGTAAAGCCTAAAATTTTTAGCCTAGAAAATTATGTTTTAACTGAGAAACAGTTTTTCTAGTCCAACCATTTTGGTTTAAAATTTTAACCCCAGATTATTAAAAAATGAATCTAGGCTAATTTTTTTTAGATTAACTTTAAAAAAAATAATTATGTAGACTATCCTAAATTAATTTTATGAACATTTTAACTTAAAAATATTTAAATTTTGATAAATGTTGAAAAATCATTAAATCGACACATGAGTTAAATAATTTTGGATGAATTTTGAGTTAAAATTATTTTAACCGTTAGATTTAAATTTGGACCATTAGATCTTTTTTTTTTTTCCGTTAGATTTGATTATATTCGATTTCAGCAATTGGATTCAATAAATATATATATAAAAAAATTAAACATGGACCGTTGGATCAACCAACGACCCATTTAAATGTGACCGTTGAATCAACCAACGGCCCATTTATATGTGGCCGTTGGATCACAAAAACTAGCCGTTAGGCTATTAAGCCATCTAACACGTGGGGGATATGCCCACATGGGTGAGGTCCCGCTGATTTTGGTCCTAGTGCATTGAGCGCATCCAAGAGTAGGTTTTGGGCATTTGGGTTTCACATTAGTTTTTTCACTCTCACATTTGGGCTCCATCAGGTGTTTTGGGCTAAATTTTGGGGGGAATTTGTGTTTTTTTTTTTTTTTTTAGGTTTAACACTTAACTTAATTTTAGAACATGAGTTGGAGAGAAATGGGGGGAATAGAAGGGAAAATTTAGGACTTACTCCAAGGGTTGGAGTTGGTCTTATAAGCCCATACAAAATCCATCCCCTCATCAATGTGAAATTTATACTCAACACACCTCCTTATGTGTGGTGAATTTTCAAGCCTAATACGTGGACAATACCACAGGGTGACGTGGAGCACGTGTGGCCGTTGAGTTACACATGTGAGATAACTTGCTCTGATACTATAAAGAAAGTTGGGGTTCCACTATAAAACCAATTGGCAATATAGGGAGTAGTCTAACCTCTTATAAGCTCATATAAGGTTCATCCTCTCTTCAAAGTGGGATTCATACTCAACAAGAGTTCCCTTTATTTTATTCTATTTTAGCATATGAAATTTAGGTCCTTGATGTTTGAAGTTTTGGGTCTTCTGGTTTGCGGGATATGCAATTTGCGTGAACTAAGGATACCGAAAACTTGTTTTCCATTAGTCAGATAAAAATGTTGTGTTTTAATTTCTCATTGCAGTCTTTGCATCAAACATCCAAATTCATTTAGGGGAAGTGAGAAGCTTGATGTGTTCATGTGTTTAAGCATGACAGCCTGAAGCTTTTTCATCTGGGTTTGAAACTTTTACCTCTGAGGCCAAGTGGGGGTGTCCAAAATGGCGAATCTTGCCTCTGAACGCGGATGTGTGGGTTAGGGTTCGCATGGGTCGGTTTTGCCTGGGTTAACTTGGGGAAAGATAGGGGAGGGGAGGCGAAGAGGTTAGAGGAGAGGGAGGAGATGGGTTGGGGAGTCGAAGAGGGAGGGGGAAGTTTGGGATTTTTTTTTAAATTTAAAATTTTCAATATTCATATGGGCTTATATTGATTGCAACCCAAAAAAGGCTGTGAAGGCGCAACATCAACGCCGTGTGCAGTGCATGTTCAGTTCAAAGAAATCAAAGGGGCGGATTCCTTCTCTTAGGGTCGATTTCCGACGACCAGAGATTCGACCGCACCTGCTTGCGTCTATGTAGCTTTGCTAGGGAATGCAGACTAGCCAACTTGGGTACGTCTACATCTGTTATGTACCACATTGTTTATCAAGACATATTCAATTTTATTTATTCATTGTAGAAAATTACAGATGAGGATCCTCACTGGATCCTCTTTGTGAGGATCCTCACTGGATCCTCTTTGTGAGGATTCTAAGGATCTTCATAGGATGTGTGGATTTGTAGGATCTCACAAAGAAAATCCAAATGGGATCCAAATCCAAAGGGGATCCAAATCTGAAAATTACAACTCATGTCCTTGAACAAGTACATACATATTAACACACCATAAAAGTTGCTATGCCGACTTTTGTTCAGGGAGTCAAGAGGGGGCTGCCTTCCTTGATTAGCACGAACACACTGCCGTTGTTTCCCCTCGTTATCGGGAACTCTCCGTCGAGGTGCCTGGTTAGCAACCACGATTCGGCATTGCTACTAGAGATGGAGAACTTAAAAGGGTTGGCTGGAGATGGTCTTACAACAGATGAAGCAGTGGCTTGGATAGAGTTGAATCAATAGTTTCATAATTAGTTTCCAACGTCCCAAAGAACCCTAAATTGAATTATGTTTGTTCTTTCAAAATTTAATGAGCTAGCTAGCTTTCAAGAGGACATAAATACTTGGACAAAAAATTGTTCTGATCATGCAACAACCATTTCATATTATTCTACCATGGTTCTGTAGTTTACTAGTTGTTAAAAAAAAGCTTGGTTCCGTCAATAAAATAGCACGCGAGTGATAAATGTGAGAATAATTTGGGGGTTTTGGGAAGTGTAAAAACATCTCACATTTGCCTCTCACGTGCTGTATAATCTCGTAAAACAAATGCCGTATTTAAGTAAACTGCCTTTGAATTGTAACAATTTGTAATCTATGGAAGTAGATGTCAACAACTGAAACTACCGGACTAAAGCTGGGGCTTCGGACTTCAAATATGGTGGTGTTGGTGCTGATAGAAGTGGTAGCCAATGGTTCAGCGAACTGGACAGAGTTTTGTACGGTGAAATTCTCAGAGTCAATTGTCTGAGATATCTCTTCAACCTTCCCCAATGGAAGTGTTCCTCTTGACAATAATGGAAACAGACCCGCAAATAAAGTGTACCTGTGAAGCAAATTTTCAAACTGAATCACTGAATTTAAGTCAGTGAATTCTTTTTTATAACAAAACGATATTTAAAACTACTTTAAAAATGTGCAAGGATAACGCAACTAGTGACCACACTGCATATTAAGTAGCATCAAGACTCAAGAGCATCTACACCAGCTTATGCAAATGTGGCTCTTCAAATAAATATTTGTTGACAAACGTTTCAACAAATTCAACAAATTTCAATATTTTATTTCACTAATAAACAAAATTCTAATATTTATTCATTCAGTGGAGGAGAGAGAGATATTTTAATGAAGTTGTAATGCACATGCAGAAGAGAGAGATTTCACTACTTGCAAATAACGTATATTTATGGTAAAAATTTCATGATCGAAATCATTTAATCTTTTAATGTTCATTTGAAGATTATCCGAACAAAAAAAAAAATCATTCGAATTGAGAACCGTTTAGTTACCCAAATGTATCAAAATAAATCAACGATGTAGGTAACGAACATATTCATGATGAACCGTTAATTTATTTAATTATGTTTAAATGACTAAACAATCTTTGACTGATTTTCGGCATAATTGGATAGGGCAACATGGAGAACTAAACAAATCATTAAGCTCCATTCACTTCAATGACTTCATCTTATCATCTAAAACTTAAAAAGAGACTACAGAAAAACCACTTTTCTGTATATACCATATAAGCACCTCAATCAAATAGGTTTTCGGGCATGTTTGGAAATGTTTAACTAGAAAGAATTATTCTCATCTCATAAGTGATTTTACTAAAAGTACGTCGAAACTTAGAAAACTATTCAAGATGCTTTTCAAATCTTCTTGACAATCAAGAGTTTACGATTACATTTGAGAGAAAATGTCAAAAGTACTTATGGCTCATAGAGCACTTTCTAAAGAATAACACGTTATGTTTTTCTTTTTCTTCAAGAAGAAACACTTCAAAATGACTTTCTAGAAAAAGTACTTAGTATATTTAATAAGAAATTTGAGTTGTTTCTAGCAAGAGCCCTTCTAATCAATCGCATTACTTTAGTCTAAAGAAGGGGGAGAAATTGCACTGTATAATTGAACAGTGATTTGGGATGAGTTTTAGTTTATTTACGGCCATGCCATCGGTGTAAAAAAATAAAAAATTCAAAGGGACAGGTGTTGGTCATCGTGAAAAGGGAAGGAGAAGCTGCGCTTTTTCCAGTTACTTCCATTCACTGATCTCAAAAGGGGAGCCCCTTCTCCGTTCTGCTCTCCTCTCCTCTACTCTGATCTCTCAATCTTACTCTCTCTCATTCTCTAATGGAAAATCCATAATCTTTCATCTTCCTCTGCTCTTCCTTTCTCTCCGTTCCCCATATCTCTTTCCGCGGAGCCTACAAACCAAGTAGTGACGGTCCACAAGCTTCAAACATGGCGGATGCGTACTGGAGGTACAGCGACAATGGACAACCGCCGCCGTCGTCGACGAATTAAACCATACGAAAGCGTCCTCCCTCTGATTACGGTATGTTGAATTCCTCAAATTTCCCTTTATTTGGGTTTTCTCTCTCTTTTTTGCCTTTGTTTGGGGTTTATAAATTGGGGTTCTTGGGGATTTTAGGGGAATTTATTAAATTAAATTAGAATAAACATGATGAGACTAATTCTCTATTTGTTTGCTCTAATTCTTTATCAACAAATAGAGGAAATCCTTTCATTTATTTGTTGAAACGATTCGGGACTAAGCGTTTTTTTGTATTGTAGAAATCCATATCATACTAATTAGAAACATACTGATGCTATTTGATACGCACGCATCATATGTATTATATATACCATTGTAGGAAGATGTTCAACTAATGGTGGATACTGGTTTGAAGGCATATAGATTTTCCATCTCATGGTCAAGACTTATCCCAAGTATGCATGATCACCAAATTATAACTTAGATTGAACAAAACAAGTAGCTTTCACACTTAAACAATAATCGGTTTGTTTCTCTCAAATGGAACAGGACATCCGAAGGATGTAAAATATTACAACAATCTTATTAATGAACTGATCAGCTATGGTAACAGTCTATCTATTAAAGAAAGAAAATATCACTTAGTATTAATATATTTTAGTAGCTATGTCACGTATTATTAATAATTTAGTAGCTATAGTGATCCAATTCCTTATGTTCATAACTAATTAAGTTGTTTGTTTCAACCAATAGTCGAACCACGTGTTACTTTACACTACAGTGATCTCCCACAGGCACTTGACGAGGAGTGTGGAGGATGGGTTAGTCGAAAAACTATGTTAATTCCTAACATTTATGGGTGAGTTTTAAATGGGACATGCAGAAAATGGGATTGGAGATGATCATGATGGAACACTTTTGTGGATGCAGAAAAGACTTCACTGCATCTGTAGATGCACACTTAAAAAATTTTGAGGATAGAGTTTTGCATTGGACTGCAATGAATGAGCCTAATGTTTTTATACTTGGAGGTTAATATATTGGATTTCTTCTGCCACAATGATTTTCAGCTCCATTTGGTGTCAACTGTTCTAGAGGTAACTCCTCAACCAAGCCGTACATGGTAGCTCATAATATCATGTTATCTCATGCATCAGCTGCTAGATTGTACAAGATAAAGTACCAGGTAATTGTCAAACTTTCACCTGTCAAGGGCTTCCAGAACTCTTAACTTTGTGATAATTAATTATATACAAGCAACTTATTAGTTCTCTGTCCTTAAAAACATCATACTCTTGATACAGTTGATGTCTCACAAATTAAGAAGAGAGAAAATTGAGAGTAAGAAAAAAAGGAAAATTAAGAAGGAAGAAGAATAACTTTACTGGTTTTGTGACTGTCATCATTCTTTCATATTTTGTTTTTATGTGTTATGCACGGACTTACAGGTATATTTTTAATTTTGTACACACTCCGAATGGTGTTTTTGACTTTTACAGTTTAACCCTACCACTAAAGGGAACTAAGGTATCACTCCCCTATGAAATTAAAAAAAAAAAAAAAAATCGCATGTGGATATTTTTGGGGCCACTATCTTTCCTGCATTGTCTTTGTTGGAGGAATCTATACAAACACAAAAAGAAAAAGTGAGGAAAAGTGCAACATCGCCTTCTATCACTAGTTGACTCCTAAATTGTCGATTAAATCCTCTTTTATTTCTTTATGGTCTGTTTTCCTAATTGATATAGTTGTCTAAACTTATTTATTGCATAGAAATATTGGGAAGATATTAAGTTTGGAGGGGACGATCAAGTTGACTTCTGCACTGTTTCATTTGTCAAAGATGCGCAAGTTGTTCATGAATTGAAGAATTATCTGCGAAGTAACTGTCTAAATACTTTATCATATATTCATAAAATATATTTGAACGCCACACTTTTGTTGAATGCTTTTAAATAATTTATCTATAATTTGATATTCCAGGTAACAATGCAGATATACACGTTATCTTAAAAATAGAAAGTGCAGGTATACACGTTATTTGAATTTTATATTAGAAAGTTGTGATTTCACTCCTTGCTAATGTAAATTCGATGAAAACTTAAAACAAGCAGCTATTAGGAGAAGATGTTAAAATGATGCAAATGAACACACCATCATTCAAAGAAATTTGATGACAAGGCCTTGCTCGCTCATGAATTGAAAAAATTTCGGGGTTTGTTTCTTCACTAATTTTGTGTAATTTGAGAATTCAAATGGTTAAATTTTGGAGCTTAAATTTTGGGTAATTGAGTTGAATATGTAGGAGAGTGCAAATTTTTTCATACGGAGGTATTCCTCATTTTGGTTTAAGGTACTGTATCATGAGACGTTTTCTGGTGGAGAAAACATCACAGCGCAGAGGAAAATCAGATTTTCTTTTGCAATTTGCACCACCAAAATATGTACGACTTATTCTTCTTTGTACGGTCGTCTGTAAAAGTATATTGTGGCCTCTTTACATTTGTTTCTCTTTCTGCAGTTTTTCACCAAATAAACAGATTATAAGCAACTTTTTTTATCCAATTTTTTCTTGCTTTTAATGATCATGAGGTTTGTAGATTGAAGGTATAAGAGTATTGCCCTTTTGTAACGTATAAAATTAATAAGTCATTTTACATTTTCCCTTCTAATTTTATATTCATCAATTTGCTTTTGATTCATGTTTTAACACGTATTGAATAATTTCCAAATTAACGACTAGTTCTTGCAACCGCGTGAAGAGACTGACTATTCAAGCTTCACAAGTTTATTCAAGGGCCTTAATCACTATATCAGGTTTCCATTTCTAATGCTTATTACTTGCGCCTTTCCCCTTATTAAGAAAATTTTACTAATTGCAATTGTAAAATGTTATCAGGGTGAGAAAGGGATCATTGATCTGAAATGGGCTTTTTATGTAAGCAATTTATTCACTCATTCACCTCAAATTCTTTTGGGTAAATTACATTTTCATACCTCAGGTTTGAGGTTTATTTTAATTCCTTACAATATCTTCAAAACATTTCACTTTCATACCTTAAGTACTATTTTATTTCAAAATAATACATTCATTACATTTTTCATTTATTGATCCGTTAAGTGCTGATGTGGCTGCCACATATATGCCACGTGGTTGCCAAATGTCTGCCACGTGGCAAATAAAAAAAAAATTTTAATTTTTTTTAAAACCTAAATCTTCTAATAATAATAAAAAAAAAAACCAAAAACGAAAGCTAAACCCTTAACCCCCATCCCTCCCTAACCCCCTAACCCAACCTGCAACCCAGAAGAAGAAGAGGAGAGGGGGAAAATAAAAAAAACCCATCTTTCATCTTCCTCCCCATCCCATCTTCCCCAAACCCACCATGGACCCACCCTCCACCTCCTCCCCCGCACTCACTACCTGCAACCCAGGAAAAAAAAAAATCTCCATTTCCATACAACCTAGATCCTGTCTTCCCTAATGAGTGTGGATTTAAGGAGTAGGGTGTGTAAAGGAGGGAAGAGGGTGCGTTGGGTTTTTTTTCCTTTTTCTTCTTTCTGAGTTGCAGGTTGGGCTCAGGTTGGAAGGGAGAAGATAAGAAGATGGGTGTGCAGAGGAGGTGGAGGATGGGTGCGAAGGAGGAGGTGGAGGATGGGTGCGAACGACGGATGGAAGATGATGAGGCTCCGACATCGCCCGGGGGGTGTTTGACGGGATCTGGGTTTTGTTCGGTTGAAGGTTTAAGTATGGGGGGGTTTCGGCCCGTGGGGCAGGGGGGAGGGGTGGGGGTGATGATGGGATCTAGTTTTCTAACTTTTTTTTTTTTTTTTTTCTAGGTTTGGGGGTTGGGGGTTGCGGGGAGAAAAGAAGAGGATAAGGGGGATAAGGTGTCTGTTTGTTGTTTTTTATATATATTTAGAAGATTTAGGTTTATTAAAAAAAAAATTAAAAAATTTTTTTTAGGCAGACATTTGGCAGCCACGTGACATATATGTGGCAGCCACGTCAGCACTTAACGGATCAATGAATGGAAAATGTAACGGAGGTATTATTTTGAAATAAAATAGTACTTAAGGTATGAAAGTGAAATGTTTTGAAGATGTTGTAAAGAATTGAAATATGCCCCAAACCTGAGGTATGAAAATGTAATTTACCCAATTCTTTTTCTTCATAGATTGTTCTGGTACCTGCTCTCTCATTTTTTTTTTCATAGGCACAGCTCTTTAATTCTTCTGCTTCTTCGTCATACTTTGAACTTCATTATGTTTTCAACTTTGAATTCTGGATGACAAGCTATACACGAGAAGGTAAGCTATTTTAGTTTTTTGTCCATATTCGGAATATCCCTACTTTTGGAATTTTGGGGATATGATTCATTTTCGTGTTGCATGTTTAACGTTGGTTTGGGTGATGATCATTTGAGGATATACGAACTTGAATGGTCGTGAGTATACTTGAATGTGGGCAAATTTGGGTAAGAACCGTGAAACTCCAATCTTAATTTTGTCATCTTTTGAATTTAACAGCGAAAATTGGTGTATTTATACCCTTTTTGTTGTGAATCATGCAAATTAGGTGTCTCTGGAGGTATTATGGGTATTTTCTCGGAATTAGGGTTTAGGGTTGATGAATTTTGTGTTATGAAACTTGATTGTGCCTTCTTTTCGGTCCTTGCTGAAATTTATTTTTTCATATCTCAACTAAAAATTGTATTTGCTTATTTTGTTTTTCAAGTTCAAAGGAAAACATAAGTTCTGTTGGTGTTAGTTCAACTGGGTCGTTAATTGACACAAAAGTATGGCCTATTACAGAATGGTCACAAAGGTTATGATGTGACTCAGGCCTAGTTTGGTACTGAGGTGATTCTAAAAAAAAACTGGTGTAAAAAAAAGCTGGGAGCTATTTTTGTGTTTGATAAACATTCAGCTTCAACTTTTTTTTATAGTTTGGGGTGAAAAAAAAAACCAAAAACAAGAAGCTGCAAAACCCCGCTTTGAAAAACCAACTTTTTTATATCTGTTTTATATAAAAGTTTACCAAATATTATAATACTGCTTTTTTTTTTTTTTTCAAAAACACTTTTACAAAAAACTTTACCAAACACTCTGCTGCTTTATTTCACAGCTGCTTATTCTCATAGCATAGCAAAAGCAGCTTTTTTTCAAAGCACAGCAATACCAAACCAGCCCTCTATGACAAGCTATTAGTTGATAGGCCTATCTGGAAGTGTATTTGCTTAAAAGGATATTAATCATGCACAAAAATATAGATTGTATGTTTTATACCGTATTGTATCTAGATTACAGTATTATACACTGCAAGTCTATTACAAAAGTCATTCAACTGGTGATTCAAGTAGTATATTGCTTATTTTATTTTGTTTGTATGTTGTTTGAGAGATGCTTTCCCTTCACAAGAATAAGACTTAGGGAATTGGTGAAGCTGCCTAGAGGAAGGAAAGCAATTGGCTACAAATGGATTTATGCAAAGAAGGATGGAGAGGATGACAAGAACTTGGTGAGATTTAAAGCTAGGCTAGTGGCTAAAGGATGTGCTTAGAATGAGGGAGTAGATTACAATGAGATTTCTTCTCCTGTGGTTAAGCACTCCTCCATTCAAATGGTGCTTGCCCTAGTTACACAATTCAACCTTGAATAGTACAACTAGACGTAAAGATTGCATTCCTTCATGGTAATTTGGATGATTCATGCATAATCCTGGAAGAGAGCATTGGAATGCTGCTAAGTGGATACTAAGGTATTTACATGGAACAAGGGACAAAGGTATTTATTTTGAAAGATGTGAGTTCTCAGTTGGATATGTAGACTCAGACTTTGCTGGAGACTTCGACAAGAGAAGATCGACGACTGGGTATGTATTTACCATGGAAAAAGGTTTAATATGCTGGAGATTAATATTACAACCAACGGTAGCACTATCAACCAGAGAAACAAAATACATGACGATCGCTGAAGCTATCAAAGAAGCAATGTGGATTGGGGTTGTTAGGAGATTTAGATGTAGAACAACACAAGTTGGATGTATATTGTGACAACTAAACTGCCATTTATTTGGCTAGATATCAGGTACATCATGCTATGACTAAGCACATTGATGTACGATGTCATTTTGTGAGAGAAGTGATAGCTGAAGTTGAGATTCGTCTAAAAAAGGTTGCTACATAAGATAATCTAGCTGATATGTTGACAAAAGTGGTTAATGCAAGCTAAGTTCGAGCACTACTTGGATTTGGTGTAGTTGAAGCAAGTTTGATCTTGCAATATGGTGAAGCGACAGAAGTTGTTGGATGCCTCAATATGGATTTCATGCCAATGTGGAGATTGTTTGATTTGGCATTAAACCAATATGCCTAAACTAAAAAGGATTAGGATATCTTGGACGCAAAATATTTGGATTTGTGTTTCCTAGTTGGTTTAGGATTTGGTTTAGTATAGGATTGGGTTTCCTATATTCTAGGGACTTTGTGTAAACCTACGACATCTATTAATATAAATAGATGGATGTGAGATAAAGTTTTGAGAGGCATAAGTTTGTATACTTTAGAACATTTTGTGTTTGTGAGTTCTCTTGTATTTGTTGGTAATCAATAAAGTTTTCATATTTAGAGAGGTACTCCTACATTGAAGGAACTCTAAAATCGTTGTGTTTTGTTTATTGCTTGATTGGTTTTTAGTTTAGTTTACAATAATAGGAAGAGTAAGATTGCAAACAAGGGGAAGATAAACATAAAGAAGAAAACAGAGAAGAACCATGAAGTTGCCACTAACCCTAGCCACAACTAGGGCTGGGGGCATGAATTGGCAATAGTTGAAGGCCCTTACATGCAACGATGAGAGACTCTCACAAAATGAGAGAAGTTACACATTCGATTCAAAATCTGCAATGAATTTCAAAAAAAAAAAAAAATTACATAGTGAATTGATAAACATTGTTGATTTCTAAATATCTCGCTTATATTTGGTGAATTTTGTATTTCACGTTATTAAATTACGTGAAATTATTAATCACACTGTTACATTAGCCTTTGTTATGATTTTCTTCCAGCATTAGGGCTAATCAGCATTATTATTTACTTATTAATCAGCTATGATGTGCTTTGCAAAGTTGTTCTCAATTGCAAACGTGTCTTTTGAAGCGCAATCAATGCAACGAGCTTCACTTGTAGAGGGACAAACTTTTAGTAGGCACATCGTTTCGCATATCTAATAATGATTGAACTCCCAGGAACTTCTTTTTTTGGAAATCTTAGGATTCCGTGACTTTAACAGTCGATCGTAAATCATGCGTAAGGTATTATTTATATTTAATTTTATATTTTATAATGATTTCTAATCGCACGATATACAATAAGCGGTCCGGATCACGTAGAATCCTCAAAAAAAGAATCCAACAAGAATCATAAAAAAGGATCCGGACTCCCACCAACTTCACTTAAGTCACCTTCCAATTTTATAAGAGATTTTATTCAAGAGAAATGTTAAGATGATTTTTTTAAAAGTGCGATTTTTTATGGACTAACTGTCATCTCACAATTAACGTTAATTTTCATGCCAATAGTATAAAATATTATTGAATAAATTGAGATGGTAGAAAGTCGATAGAGAGTTTTACTTTTAAAATAGTCAAATTAGCATTTCTATTTAT